AAATTATGGAATCATTATAAAAAAATTATATAATGTTAAACTTCTTAATTTTTGTGTAATATTTAAGCATGTTAATATGTATTATAATTGCCTTTACATTTTTGGCAAAATACTATATCATAATATATGTATAATAAAAAAATCTCCAGTCAGCTAATGCGAGCAGCTTTTACCCCCACCCTTATTTTGTTTTTAATTACAATTGGTAACGCTACTTGTGATAGATAGCGGAAAAATTTTAAGACATTTTAATAAAATATATATTTTATGACAAATATTGCGTATTAAATATAATAAAAGGAAATGTACCATTCCGTACAAGACTTTACATAATCCGTTAGCGTCAGTTTCAAGCAATTATGTATAAATGTAACCAATATATTAATAAAAGTTGTTGATGCGTAAGTTATGATTAAACAGCCATCATGAACCGAATATACCACGTATGACATTGTTTTTGTGAGAAAAATTGATATGTGTTCAAGTATTCGCATTATGTGATTAAATATGGCTTACACGGTTTATTGATGTAAGAAATCCTCGCCTCGCATGCCGCCCGCTGTGCTGTTTTTGCCAATTATTGGAGAATTCATTACGAACTGTATTATCTAAATGATCGTGGGTAATGTTATTTTAACAGAGTTATCATAAAAATTATTCTGTAAATGTATTAGTATTTAATAGGGCATGTGACACGTGGATACTTGTTCCGTTCTCATTCTTGGATTTAACGGTTCCTAAAGATGTAAATTTCAATGTTAATATATTACTTGTTCTATGACATCAATGGCATCTATGAATGTAAAGTGGAATGCATTACAATGTTTGAATTTGTTTTCATGGTTAGGATTCTATCAGACTGTGTGAGGTGAGTTTTGTTTTATCAAGGGAACAATCCTTTTATTTTCATATTTTATCTGTTTACATACAATATCACATGACTCATTCCATAACTAATTTGGAATTAATATATATTTTTTGTTGTAATATTTAAAAAAGAATTTTATATAGATGCAAACAATACAATGAAATGCAATTTTTTCCCTTGAAAGGTTATTTTAATATTTCATATTGGTTTAAATATAGGTATTGCAATACCTATGTTCCTATTAGGACAAATGTAATCTACATACTGTTTACACGGCATTGTTACGATCCTTTACGAACGTTAAATAAATCAAACAAAAAATATATAGGTACCTAGCTACATGTCTTAGTGATAAAATATTTGAATCTATTCAGAATTTGACGTCACTACTTCAAAATGCTGAGAATAAACATACAGGATTCACCTGCCAACATCGTTTTTTGTGTAAATCGTTTACAAAAGAGCGCATTTGACATCAGCTCATCGAAAAACTTTAAATAACAAAGATAATTTGCGGTTTGCCAACTAAAGAAGTACAAAACAAGCTCTTATGTTAAATGAATAAAGTATAAATTATGACGTGATGACAAAATGATGTGTTTGTTGTATAACAACATTGATGAATCTTCATCCTGTTTAGGTAACTGCCGAATCTGACATATACATGAAGCTGATTTAAAATTTCAATAGGAACTCTCTTCAATGGTGAACGACAAAACAACCTGTTGCATTTGGATGCTCTGTGGATATACCTTTTTGTGACAACATTAAAGAGTACGAGATAAGTCTTTCATCTTTCGCCGAATATAAGCTTTAATATATTATATATTTATAAGTTCCTACAATAAAAAGTGGATGGCACTTCATACATTGAACGGCTTGATGACAAAAGATTAATACCATGGCACATCAAACTCGATAAATAGAGTAAATAATACGATTGGTAATTTGTATAATACCTAAAATGTATGAGTAAAATAGAATAACATTATGATTTTTGATGATGGATTTTAAGTTTAGATATCGATCGAAAGCGTAATTTGTCTGGAATTCCCGTATCTTTTAATTGTCAGTCAGTGTCAAACAATATGATATATATGATAATATGTCTCAGATAGTAATATTTCGTTTCTTGTTCTAGAATACTAGAAACGAAACATCTTAACATTGTTTGGATTCACCGTGCGGATGCCTGGTTCGTCACGTTACAAGGAGAGGAGCTTTAGCACTGCCCGGGACATGTGACCGAGGCTGCAAGTCCCTACATCTATTCCCAGGTCCCAACTCCCAGACAAGTAGTTTCTTGTTCCTAAATCCTAAGTAAAATTTTACATGCATGAACATCTATAATTGTTAATTCCCAAACGTTATAAGATTACTAAAATTCGATTCCTATAACACTCGTATTATAGGTAATATTTTTTTTAATTATTTTGATATCAATCTTGTTTTTATGATTTGTATTCCGGTTTGGTCAATATTATAATATTTAGGTAAAAATGTGCATCATACCTTCAACCGGTCACGATGCAACTGACATTGTCCTAATTATTCGTCCTTAGCCGCGACAGTGTAACACATAGATTCATTGTAATTCTGCGCATGCGCAGCCTTCTGTTATGTAAGGATATTGATACAATTTGTTTTACGATATTATTAAATAAACGGTTATCAAAATAATATTATAACATATAAATTTGAATTCAATAATACCTTTGTGTTGAACATATAATAATTAATAAAAATAATATAATAATTAATAAAAATATTTATTTAAATTAGTTAAACATGGCTTGTAAATCATATAAAACTTAATAAAGTAATTAATACTAGAGAACTCAAAATAACCTATAATGACTTCTCTAATAAGCCGTCCTAATATTGTCAAAAGCATTAAATTCATTTTAGAAATAAGAAGAAATGTGTTAAAAATAAAAATTAAATAAAAATCTATTCCTTAGTAACACATAGTGTATACGTTAGAAAAACATTCCAACTGCAATAACTTAGCATATGCGATCCACAGTCATCATTTTCAATTAAATATATCTAATCGCCTCAAGACAGAAACACACTGGTACAGTAATACAGCCTTAATTACTACAATACCATCATTATTTCAAAAACAAACCTTTTGTAAAGATTATTAAGTATTACTCAAATATAACCTTAAACAAATAATTTCGTATTTTATACGTGTTCAACGAAAATAGTGATCATCATGACGAAAATATTATTGTAATTTATTGAATGATATATATGACATCGCCACTATGTAACAGTTTATATCATATACAGGAAAATTTTTGGCGTCGTTTGGTACTCAGATCATGCGGGCGAACCCGTAGCCTTCATTTGGCCTCAGCTTCCCGTTATCGTAACCCAAACATACCTTTCCGCTTTACACTTCCGCGAGCTAATCTTAAGGACGCGATTATTTTTGGATAAGAATACATTATTTTTATTCTATAAGCAGTGTGAATATTTTTAACAATCCCTGTAATATTGTTTTGTAACATCGTGTAGAGGTTGAGATTGCTTAGATTGTATATAATTTGACTGTTAAAAAACTAATTAATTATTAGTAGCCAGCTTCATTAATCTCTATAAAGATTACTTATTACATATTTCAGCTAATTTGTAACTTTTGTTTTGATTGTGATAATATTTAATCTATATAAACAAGTAGGTCAAGATGCGTTGTGCTGCACTTGGCCGCGTATTGTATGCGCGTGGCTAATTCTCATTTAGGGTGACCACACGACATAAATATTGTGTGATACTATAGAATAGTAATATCTGTCCACGTTTTAGTACTTACGCCAGCCTGTCAAGGGTAAAACGGCAATCATGACCGGAAAGGAAATTGTTTATTTATGTATTGTTATATTATGTTTCTTATGATATTAGCTTCCTACGCATTTTAAAAAATATATTTAAAAAAATCTTATATTTTCAATAATTCAAATAATATATCAAAACAGTTACTGTCTACTTAGGTAGTAGATGAAAAAAAATTATTAAAATCTTAATTTAATATAACATAAAAGTAAACTTCTAGATATTGTCTAATATTTTTTATATAATATTACGAGTACTTAAATTTATTATAACAAAAGAAATATAGAAACATATGCACCCTAACTTTGTCGGCTAAGTTGACATTGCATAGACATATTTCGATAATACTAACTCATTGTAGCAGCGGTTCCGACTTGTTATCTACGCTTATCTACCGAGGTCGCTCCGAACCTGACAATGAATTGTTCATAGTGATGTGCACCAGCATATCGATGAATAAGTTTTAAACATATAATTTAATGAATAAGTGAATATTAAATCTATTTTTTATTTACGATAAAATGTACTTTTATTTCTTCTTTGAATGGTATTAGAGGCACGTAACACATAAGTTGATTTAAATTCCAATATTGTTAAAAGAGGTCTTTGCATTTTAAAATGCACCCAAATATTAGGTATAAATATTTTTAACTACCTCCTTTTTAATTTCAAATGTCTCAAATATCAGCTCTGAATAGCAATGGGACTGAAAAGATAAAATGTATAGTAGATTTTAATACAATTAATACAACAAATCAATAGAAATCCACAATGCTTAGGTCATCCATTAATATTTAATTAATTAGTGCTTGCTTAATCAGACTGCTTTAATAATGTTTAGAGACATGTTCATTTCCATTAAGCTTATCTGTTACTCTCAAATAAAAAGATAGACATTTTTATAAATGTAGAAAGTTATGAAAACAACTTTTAAAATTAAATACCAAATTTTGTTGTTACCAAACACTACTTGGAATTGTTTTTCAATGTACTATTAATAATGAGAATATTTGAGCTACCAATTTTTTTATGTGTTATAAAATGGTTGGAGTTTTTTTAAAGAAATATCTATAAACCTTCGTAGGACACTCGCACAACTCTTTAAGCATAAAGTATAGGGGACAGGCCTTCAGGCGGACGAAGGAAGATTGTTTAAGTAGAAATCATGGAATACTTTAAATAATCACCGTCTGAAATCTGTTCACTATAAAGTGCACGCACTTTGACACGAGTGCACTTGTCCTATTATAACTAATTATATTAATTATTTATTTAATAGCATTAGATAACAATGGAACGAGTCTCTGTGTTCGTTATTTTAGTTTTAAGTTGTGAACTTGGATTGTGTTATATTAATTGTGAGTTAAACAAAGTTATCAATAAAATTGTGTCATAATCGATGTTTATATTTTAATGTAACATTTCATTTAAGTGGCTGATGTTGATTGTGGTCTGGTGAATGCACGTAGTGGTCGGATAGTCGGTGGTACAAACAGTCTGCCAGCTGAATTCCCCTGGGCTGCCAGTTTGTGGAGACAGGGAACCCATCAGTGTGGAGCTACCATCATTAATAATAGGTGGCTGGTCACCGCTGGACACTGCGTTTGCAGGTAATTCTTTCAACCTAGTTTTGATAACATTAGTTATATAAATATCTCATCCACTTAAGACGTTTAAAACACAAATCTGTGTAGATTACTGTTTCAATTAAACTTAATATTATAAAAAAAATTGGTATTTTCTCGTGTCGATTATAAGTTGTCGGTGATTCTAACTAAAAACGATTTTTCTTATACTAAAAACTGTGTAACTATTCCAATATTTGAATATATACGATCAGTACGAGTCATGAAAAAATGTCTTCTAATTAAATATATAAGTCTTCTAATGTCTTCTAATTAAATATATAAATTAAAATTATAGTATGGGAGAAGATCCCTTCAGTATGATACTTAATATACATTACATGATACTTACTTTGATAATTTTAATTTGCTAGAAAAAGACATTATAAGATCACATATTTATGTATGTGTTGGTAAGCTTATAAAATAAAGACATACTAGGACTAAATCGTATTTAAAATATGAGTAATAGTTACCTATGGCAATTTTGTCATAATTTAATACTAAGTCAACGTAATATGATTTTGTGTATGAAATATTTCTGCTCCTTCCTTTTCAAACTATATTATGTAAATAGTTCTATATTGCATAATTCTTCTGTACATAAATTGAAATAAATTTTATTAACAAATTTTATCCTCGAAAGTGACAATTGGTGACCTAAATAAGTACGTACTTATTGTAACTGAACATGAAAATAGAAAATGTATCAGAGTGAGTAAAAATACAGTTTTGGTGATTTTTTTTACTACAAAATTAAGATGTGTTTGAAAAAAAAAATGTGTTTTTATTCCGCTTTAAAGATAGAAGACAGCAATATTCTTTAAATGTTTAAATAGTTTATTTTTATGCTTTCTATATATTATATACATTTTATTAAGAAATATTTGAAATGGAAAAATCCGTAATAAACCCACTGACGTTCAAAAAAGATTTTAAAATCGATTGAATTTACGGTAATCCGTTTAAATTATTTTTTATTTTTGACCGCTTCTTGATAGAAATGATCAATTAATAAATAAATAAATAAATTCTTTTTGTCTTTAGCAAAATACCTGTTTTTATTATATTTGTTATTTAGTTTTGTTTATATTCGCCTATCAATAGAAAATATTGTATTTTGACAGTGTATTTGACGAGTTCTACAAATCAAAACAGTTATCAGTCGTAGTAGGTTACACTGATATATCAGCATCGGACAAAAATCAAAGGCTCTCTAAAATTATACCTCATCCCGACTATAGGTAAGTATCCAAAAAACTGCTAACTGCTCACTTTTTATACACGCTTACTTAAAATTACTTTCTTTAATATTACTTACGTGATTTAATTGCTTAAATAATTTACTTATACTAAATATACAGAATATGTAGTCTATAATTCAAGTTTAATGACAATGAAAATATTTAATTTCAATATTATCAATTCGCCAAATATGTATTGCTAATCTCGACTTGCCCGGTTTGTTCACATAATGACATATGTATATTATTTTAGATGTAAAAAGAAAACAAACGACGTAGCTCTCCTTAAAACAGAACATCAACTTGTATGGACAAATGATCTGCGCCCCGCTTGTCTTCCTAGGGCTAAATCATCTGACTTTACTGGAAAAAGAGCCACCGTTGCCGGTTGGGGTTTCACCAATGAAGATAGAGGAATTGGTTAGTATATATTATTTTATATCGGTTGTATATTAACGATCTTCTAATTAACTAAATTTTACTCTTTATCATCTTGTTCTTAAGTGAATGTCCAGAAGTTAATTTACCTTTTATGTAACCCGATCAAGTAAAAATGATCTAACTGTTTTGTATCAAATTCTGAAATTCATGAAATACTAAAAGAATTCATGAAATACTAAAAGAATTGAAATACTAAAAAAAATCATGAAATACTAAAATAATTGAGTATGAATTTAAAAATAAACTTTTTAATATACAAGCGAAGAGTCTAGTCAAATTTACTTTAGATACAAAAACATAAATGATAACAAAACACTTTTTTTCACTTAATTCGATTATATTGTTTGTCGTTTCAAATGGTTAATTAAATATTATCTATAAGAATAATCATTACACTTAGTAAGTAGGTTAGTAGGTGAAGTAGATAATACTTTACTTTGATTTGAAATAAACACTTAACCCAATATTCTAGGTGAGAGACCGAATGTTTTGCAAAAAACCGAAGTTACTGTAGTAGAAAACGGCGAATGCAATAGTTGGTACGAATCCCAGGGTAGTAAAGTAAGGATTATTGCAACTCAGATGTGTGCTGGTTATAAGCAAGGAGGACGGGATTCGTGTTGGGTAAGAAGATCATAATTTCATAGTTATCTATGGGAGCATGATTGATTATGTTCTAATTAATATATACTTAAATCTCAGGCTGACAGCGGAGGTCCACTTATGCTGCAAGGTGAGAAGGGTCACACTATGCTTATTGGAGTAGTTTCAACGGGTAGTGGTTGTGCCAGAGCGAAAATGCCAGGAATTTATACAAGGGTTTCAAAATTCACTGATTGGATTGTATCGAGTGTCAATAATGATAATGCAAGAAAAGGTTTAAATTGGTACCTGAGGGGTGGTTAGGTAAATTAATATGGTTATCTTTAATTTTTGATAAACATTTTATTAAATTTTTACAATGATTTAATCGCTGAAGTTGTAATACAAGCAAAAAAGTTACCATGTCATATTTAGTTTGCCAAATATTTAGAAGATCTGTGATATTATTGTTTAAGTATTTAAGTTACATATTTTTATTTATAAGTTTATTGACAATAAACAAAATATTAAATGTTTATGTTTTTTGATTTACAGTAGTTGACGAAGTCAAGTTTACTTTTTTCGATAACTTCATATAATTTTTTACCTGATGTTTCCCCAACATCATCTTTAAGGGATGACAAAGCTGTTTCTATTGACAATTTTCCTTCATCAATCAATGGTCTAATTTCATCAAGAGTTTTAAGAGATCCATCTTTATTAGCCTTTTTTGACTTCAGTATCAAAGCTGAGTGTAATTCATGATGCAGGACTGCCGAGTATAAACTCAGTCTTGCGTTACCTGGATCCAAAGTCTTCGTTATGAAAATCAAATCCTTGCACATCTTTATTTTCTTGTCCAATATTTCTTCAGACATATAATTAGATTGTCTGCCATACAACTGTATAAGTGAATGTTTTATTGAATAAAGGTGATAATGATTTGGATGTAGAAATGTCGACAGTCGACATAAAATATTTTCTAACATGTTCACAGAACCTCCCATCATTTGAACATTTTCTACTTCTTCACCCATTTCGGAAATGAGTATATTTATTTGAGAATTATTCACCTTTACTGTACACTTATTACAAGCCCAGTCGGTTTCTTCATCTAGCGGATCTTCAGGTAAATGAATTCCATCACATGGTCCCTTATCATCGCCAAAACACTTCATGGCGCTTAAATAAGTTCCCAACTCGGTTGGGTCACTACAACGTATGCACTTGCAAGAGAAATATTTGGTATCTTTCAAATGTTGCCGTCTGGCTTGTGTTCCCCATAAAGCATGGCTGTACATTGTCGCCACGTGATCCCCTTTGTTAATGGGTACGACGACTTTCACTGTAATTTTATATTTGTCTTTAACGTCTTTTCCTGATGTGTTGAATAAATGCTTTGTGTTTGGGACACAGCTGTGTTCCATCATGCATGTTGTCGCGTATAGTGCGTTAAGTTCAGATCCATTTGGTAGTCTTATTTCTAACGCATTAGTGTCTATTATGCCACAAATTCTGTGCAACAGTTCCTCAGATATTAGATTTAGATATTTATTTTTAACATTTTTATCAATCTTGTTGATGAAAACGTTCATGAGATATTTAACAGTGAATTCATCTGCTTCACTGAAAAAAGAAAATAATTTGTATAATATAAGAAAACAATTAATTTTCTTTTCTTTTATTAACTTAAAAAAAAAATGTATAACTCAGTATATCACAACCATAAAGACGTAAGTATTTTAATATGTAATAATTTTGACCTATGTTCGTTTATTGATTTATTTTTAAATAAAAAGCTTATCCTATTTGTATAGTACAAATTTAACTTCTCGGTTTGAAAGTCAAATTAGAAAAAAATTGTACATATTATATCAATATTTTTGCGAGAAAGATTTATGATCTGTTTACTTTCAAATTAAAAATAGTAAATACATAATGAGATCTAAGACTTTCGTGAGTATTCATTTAAATGAAACTAACATTTTCGGATTACTACGACAACCGTGATCAGTTTGCTGCATAGTAATCGAAACTTCGGGTGTATGCATTTTTTTTTAATAATAAAATACACCTTGTAATATTACTTTCATTAAAACAATATATACATACTCATAAGCATCTGTTCCCGGTAATCGACTTTCCATATGTGACTGAAGTTCTAAAAGTTTTTTCCATTTATCATCATCTGTATACTGGAGAAGAGCACATCGAAGTGGAAGTAAAGCATCGTGTCTGTAATGTACAATTTTGGTATTATTATTTTTATTTCACTTTTTATAATGGTATTGGTGACAATACATGCAAACCAGTATAAGGTCTATCTATGTAAATTTAAAATCTTCTAAATATCTCAATACGAATAATTGTCTATAACTTATTATTACTGTCTTTTAGGTTTTTTTTGTAACTGAATCATATCATAGATATTAAATTTAGACCATGTTAGGCCGTCATACTTTTGATAATAATTCTTAGATATGCATTTTTATTAATTAATAATACTGTTGAAAGTTACAAACTTAAATCGCTTTTGAATATGCATAATGTATGTATAAAAATTACCTATAATAATCAGCCATATTGTCCAAAACACATTCTGGACGCGCGCTCAGTATTTCACATTCAACGCCATGATGGAGAGGATCCTGCAAACCTGGACAGTTGCCAGAACAAACCGGCCAGCCACATCTGAATGACGTATTAATAAAACAAAGTCAATCAAAACTTTTCCAATTCCAGTTGTTTATCTTCGAATAAAGTTCCTTAAATTAACTTGCTATTTGATTTTCTTTCCGCCAATCTACGACGCGACGTCTCCATTAATACGATGATATTATGTAATATTTGAGCATCAACCTTAATTAGGTTCGCTTTCTAAACCCATAAGCGTTCGATCGAAACATAAAATTGCATTAAATAAATTGAGTATCATCAAAATCTTCATTGCGTATAGGATACCTTACTGGTATTAAATAGTTAAATACAAATATTGATAACTTTGGTAATTGTGAGTTCTTTCACTAGATATGAATTTCAATTTTTTTTTTAAATCAATGAAGATGTAAAAAAAATCATGTACTTCTAGACCTAGATTGCATTAATTTCAAATAAAGGTTTGAGCTATACTTGTAAAATAGATGTTTATTATTGAAACGAAATTCCTTATCGCACATTGCTCGTTCGGGTCAGGTTATATTGGGCTTAGTCGATCAGAGCCTGACCGAAAAAAATGTAATAAGTCTTGTTTCAGACTGTTTTTGATATGGTTCCAGCTAAGTTTAACTGAATGAACATGAAGAAAAAAGACTGATGGACTAAATTAAATGATGGAACTGGGAACTCTCTTCACTGTCCGAGAAGATTCTTTTACAATTTACGTCTTCATTAAATAAATATTTAAATTATAATGTGTCATAAGGTAATTTAATTAAAGGTTTTTATTTTTAATGCAGTACAGATATATTGTCATTTCTTACACAAATTCGACAAATCATTATAATTTTCTTGTTAGCATTTTAAAGAAAATACTTTGATAAATACCGATATTAGTTTAGTAGCTATATTGCAAGTTTAATGAAATACTTTATTTTATATACCTATTGCTATATTAAGGAAGTGGAAAGTTAAAACATAAATTGTTAAAATTGTACTTCACTTTTTTTTGTTCGTAACTCTAGTGATAAGTGTCGTTAAAATTTATTAATTCATCAATAATCCAAAATATTATGAAGTAAGAAATTAAAAAGCGTTACGAAAAATCAGCAAGATCAAGAAAACTCATCAACCGAGGGGGAATTTCATACATTTGTTACATATGTATTTGTCCCGCACAATAGAGTATGGAAATGTGAGTACAGATATTGTGGACATTTATTAAAAAATTATCTTAAATAATGATCAAATGAGAGCCGAAAAAGCGCTGCTTTGGTATTAAATTGTCGTTGCATTGCTTGATTTGTGTTTTTAGTGAAATTATAAAACAAACTAAGAAAGGGTTTAAGCTATAAAAGAAAATAAATAAGAAAAAGAAACAGAAAATATTACCTACTGTGTATTCAAGCCAAAACATATTTGAATTTACTGAATAAATATTAGTGATTAATGAAAACATTTTAAAGTTATAGATATAAAAAGTTTATAAATATTGAAATATTTCTAAATATAAAAAAGTGTGAATAAAATATGTAACTACGTAGTAAATAATATCCTTTCTTATATGAAGGTAATAGCGACATCTGCTTTAAATTGCTTTATTAATTAAAAATATAGAATGCGTAAGTAAACTACTGATTGAAATCCAAAAAGATTCATGGAATATTGATAGATAGCTATTAGAGTGATATAAAAATATAAATGAAAATTTTCCTACAGAAATAAAACCTACAAAACTAACAAACCGTTATTTTACTGGAAGAAAAATTATTACACTCATTTCAGAATTACAGAACCATATATATAAAGTAGGTAGATCAATATCTAATAAGAAGAACGTCACAAAAAAGTATCCAAAAACAGAAAGTCTTTCAAAATAATATGATTCAGAGCAGAAGAAGCTCAAGGTCTACCTTTACATCTGATTAATACTGAAAGCCTACTTAGGCACATAGTGTTCTTGAAACTAAACGGTAAAGTAAAGGTAAAGTCTGAATTAATATATAGGAAATTAGATATAAGAAAACATAAAAATTATTAAAACTGGTAAACATTCAATTGTCATAATTTCATTAAGGTACAAAAATACTTTAAGAAAATATATTAATTTTGATTATATGATTTGCACACGATTATTTGAAAGGAACTTTGTTATGATCAGGTCCGTAGACTTTTAAGTATTAAGATGAATATACCTGGAGCATCTTTCACCGACATCAGTAAATATAGGTTTATAACAACCCACACACGGCATTAAAGCCTCTGGGTCAGGCATGGATTTAGGTCCATAAACAAGGGGCAACTCTGTAAGAACTACGTCATCTGGGGCAAGATCTCTCGCTGCAACTAAGTACCGACCAAGTTCCTCTGATTTTCTGATCTGATAACAATACACATCTGATAAGAATATTAAAAATTAATTATACCTACTTAATATTATAATAAAATATCAAATAGCAATGAAGTTAAGGGAGTTTTGAATCAAATTTGGTTTATGATTCTCTCAATATGTTTGGTCTTACTTGCGAAAAATTTAAATCAAAATTTAAATATAATAGATATAAAATGTATTAATTTGTATAATTAAACGGATTTTAATATTAGCGCCATCTGCGAACTGGAATCTACAACTGTACAACGCTGGATAACACTTGGTCGGAAGCTTGTAAGATTCAAATTTAATGAGTGAGGTGGCGGTGTTTTTAAATTTCTTACCTCATATTCGTTATTTCCCATTTTCTGTAAAAGAAAATATCATTTTAATTTAAATTTAGAATACAGTAATTACAAGAAAATAAAGAAAATAAAAAATTACTTTCAATTGTTTTTATGAAGCTTAATATTATATTATTACGTACATTTTTTTTTATATTCTCCTAAGCTGTTACTTTATTAAAAATGAATATTAGAGATAAATGAGATTAAATAATATTTTTGTGGGTTTAATGTTACATGGACATAGTATTTACTACTACGTCCGCCTACGTATAGCATTCCTTATTCCAAAATTATATTTCCTTCACATTCTAATAGGTACTTAATAATAGGTTTAACTAAATTAAATATATATAGCAACGCCTTTAATTTTGGCTTATTAACAAATCATGAAAATATTTATTAATTTTTTTTTAAATGATGAGATGACGCGACATGCTTCTTATAAATTATTATAAAAAAATATCATATACCAGAAATAAACATTAAATACATATAAAAAAGGTAACACAAAAAATATCATGAAAAAGTTAACTTTTAAATCAAAGTGAATGTGGAAAAATACAAAGTACTTACTTTTAAAGACACACAGTATTTTGTAACTCAACAAAAATCACTTATTTTTGTATTTTTAAATTTTACAATTATTCTCCTATAATAAAACTTGTAACGTTGAAATCATTTTTCACGGCCTGCCAACGAACGAGTTTCAGACTACAGAATGAGTCTCGGAAGACTGTTGCGTAATTGAAGCATATTTTTAAAAGTGCAATCCGTAGGCAATGACCGCTCGTTTTTTTATAGCCATCAAGTAAACATTGGAAAAAGTTAAATCATATGTTAAATAATTAATATAAATAAATAATATATTCTTTATTATCATTATTTATAATTTTTAATTCGTTTTAATCTTCATTAAAAATTTTGTGGTTATTTTTGTAACCATCACGTGTATAATAGACATTAGTTTATATTTTGTGACCACTGAGCATGCATGTTTTATAATTTACATGATCTGGTCTAATTGCATAATGAAGTATTTACATGACATGTTAAAAGCTATTTATTATTCGCAATTAATATGAGCCAAATAGTTTGCGACAGTTTGTTCACATGTAAAGGTAAATCTTGAACATTTGTTCTTATCAAGAAGCCCTGTTCTACAAACCGTTTTTCTTGGCACGGTCGTTCAGTGTTTAGTTACAAGTGATAATTACTGGCATCTATTTTAATCAAGTATTGTGTTGGGCTCGACGCGAGACGCTCGCGAGTTATAACGTTTATCTTTAGCTAGAGTAAGAATAAATGAACACAAAAGCAGTTAAATCTGTTTGTCATGTCTGCCAAAAACCGGCAGCACAAACATGCAGTGGATGCAAGATGGTATATTATTGTTCGAAGGAACATCAAAAATTAGATTGGAAGAAGAGTCACAAGGTTGAATGTAAACCATATAAAGTCCAATATTCAGATTCCTATGGCAGATTCATGATTGCAACTAGAGATATAAAGCAAGGAGAAGTGATCTTAAAAGAAAAACCAGCGGTCATCGGACCTAGAATGTATTACAAAGTACAGTGTCTATCTTGCGGAAGACAATTAGAACCTATACAAAACCTCGATGGAAACATGGATTTTATAAGATGTTCTTCTTGTAACTGGCCAGTATGTGGTCTTGATTGTGAAAAAGCTGAAGTTCATAGAGAAGAATGTAAAATAATGGTTCAGAGTCATTACAAATGCGACATAAAATATGAATGTCCTGATAAATCACAAGCAGCCTACTGCGTTATAGCACCGTTGAGAGTGCTATTAATGAAGGATTCAAATCCTCGTATGTTTGAAAGTATAATGAATTTAGAGTCTCACGTTGATCAAAGAATAAATACCCCTATATATCAGGTATTAAAACCTAATTTAATTATGTTTATTAAACAAGTGCTTGGGATGAATTTTGATGATAAAATAATTTTGGAAATATCCGCCATATTAGATACTAATTCTTTTGACGTGAGAAGTGCAGATAAAACTAAGAGATTACGAGCAATATATCTATTAGCTTCAATGATGAATCACAGCTGCAGGCCTAATACCCGACATATATACTTAGGTGAAGACAACAGTTTAGCTCTAATAGCGACAGTCCAAATTGCAAAAGGCGAAGAAATTACAGCTACTTACACTCAGACATTGTGGGGTACATTGGATAGAAGAAAGTTTTTAAAGTCTAATAAATACTTTGATTGTAAATGTGAGAGATGTGCTGATCCCACTGAATTTGGCACGTATTTAGGGAATATTTATTGTACAATGTGCAATAATACGAATGCTGATGATAGTAGGAAAGGATCTATGTTAGTATCTACTAACCCTCTAGACGAAACAGCGCTGTGGAAATGTGAAAAATGCGGATATTTTATTCAAGGGAGACAAATGGTTTGGGGAAATAAGGCATTAAAAGAAGAATTAAGTTCATTAAATAAAACAGGGCCTAAAGATTTTGAAAACTTCATTGATAAATATAAGTTAACACTTCACCCAAGGAATCATTTATTGATTCAAGCTAAACTGGCGCTAATGGAGATATATGGAAACTACAAAGGCTATTCTTTGAATGGTTAGTATTAAATAAGTAGAATTAACAGAACTCGAAATTTTAAAGTATATTAAATGGGTTCATAAAATTTCCATTATAATTTTCGTCCTCCTTATGGGCACAGTAAAGAGCTGGAACGGGTTTTTGCGTTTGAGTTATCCCCCCCTAATATTTGGATGCCTGTAAGGCAAGAGTGAATAGGTTTTAACATCTAAAGCTACATTTCCCTTAACCACAATACGGGAATATAATCAAACACTACGTATGTAGTTACCAATTGGTAAAAACTAAATTCATATGCATTACAGAACTTCCAGAAAATTTGCTTCAGCGGAAAATAGATATCTGCCATGAACTCTTAGAAGTCGCTGACAAGCTGGATCCTGGCTGGTCCAGATTTCGTGGAACTATATTGTTGGAATTAGAAGCTGCGATGACCATAAAAATAAAAAAAGAATTTGAAGCAGACATGTTGACCAAAACGGAAGCACAGGTAAGGCATATTTAATTAAAAAACAACAACATATTAGATGTCACAATTTAAATAATAACTTTATTTATTTAATAGTATAGAGTAAAAAAATAGGCTATTTTTAAACTATTAACTATGTTAAAATATAGTGGTGTTAAATAATAAAAAAAAACAACCAAAATATATAAATGACTCTCGTTGATAGGTAAAATTGTTCCAAATTTTATTTATAGACATTGCGTTTCATAAATAATCCAACGACGTGTTATAGACAAGACCTTGAATACGTGATATAAAACGGTAGTTAGAGTGAAATAAATAATCTCATGGATTATATTTTGGTATTTCTTATTTATATATATGTACTTTCTATAAAGGGTAACCAACTGCAATAAATGGTTTAGAGTAAAAAAAACATTTATTACATTTTTTACAGGACCAATTGATAGAAAATATGGTTTTACTTGAAGAAGCTACAAATATATTAAAAATAGAACCTCACATGAATGAGGCTCTTAAAGCAAAACTACAAGAACGTTTGTCAATTTTGGATGACACGAAGTCAAAGTCCTAAACTTTACTACAAAAATCTGGGTGAAATAAAAAGCTTGTTTTTATTTTCTGTGTATTTAATTAAGGAGGCTGATTAAGGAGGCTACCTGTCACAAGAATAACTTAAAAACAATAAAAAGTTATGTAACTTCAATATATAGTCATACATTTATTAATGATAATATAGTATATTACATCCAATTTCATATAACAGAAAGTCTAATAATGGTTAAAAGATGTATTTTTTATATACTTAGGACGATGACTTAATAATAAAAGGTATTTCACTAAATACATAGCTACATTCGTTCATGCATAGCTATGAATGCTCTTATCGCCAGCAGTTTTTGAATGAAGATGGTTGAAAAGTTTTTTAAGTAAACACGAAGTAACGGTTTAACTTCTTTTATGAAGACGTTTAATACCGTATTCTACAGGTGCTCAATCTTAAGTGGTGTTACTTTTGTAGGTTTAGTAGTTGCTTCGTCTACTTTAGCAATACTCAGTTCAACTGTGTGTCTATGGATATGCAGGAGATTTTTAACCATTTGAGACAATTTCCTTCGTGGTTGCGGTGTACCTTCTATGACAAATAACTTCTCATTATTATTGTGTTGTGGTGATTGTTTTTCTTTTATTTCCTGTTAATACAAAAATAATATAAAGATTTAAGAATACGTAAGTTCCTAATCTATTTTATTGTTTTTAAATATTTTTAAGGCCTTACAAAGTCAAACTTAAATACACGTATTTTCGAAAAATTTTGATGAATCTTACTTTTCCATAAACACAGCAAAGCGATCCAAATCTAAAACATGCTATACATGGAGTCCTATCCATAGCTTTACGAAATCTGGTGTTAGTAAATCCATATATAATTGGATTGATAGCGCAGTTGGCATACATTAAATATGTTGCTATGAACCATATTATAGAATATCCACCATCAACCTTAAACAAAAAAACATTATAATTAAAAAACATATTTCGGAGATCATAACAGTGTCCATACTAAAAGGAAATAATACCGCATTTATCTCTTTCCTCAAATTATTCCTCCAATATACAAGAACTGTGAATGGTATCCTACATATGGCTGCTGCTAAAAGAATACAAGCTGTTACTCGCATAGTCTTCCTCTTAGCAAGAATGATCGTTCTACCACCACCTCTGGCTGAAAGTTCTCGGGCACCCCATTCTAATTTCCACATAATAGTTCCATACTGAAATTAACACGCAATATGTAAAAAATTAAAAGCATTTTTAGTTTATTTGGCTTTCAATTAGTCACATTAAAAATACGAACAGTTATGATCATCGTCGCGAGTGGTACCCATACGAGAAGAATCACCAAAAAATGCCAGTAGATACAGAGGAAATCGCAGTCTTCAACACAATATGTTTCCAAATAATTTTTCCATGGACGCTCCTGAAATAATGAGATCTTATTTAGGAACAACAATAAATTTTACTTCTCACACTATATGTAACTAGCCCTTAAATGTTTTAGGTTTGTCAGTATTGCTTAACCAGTGTTAAAGTTTTGAAATAGTATATAGCGATATATATTATATATAGATTGATTTAATTCGGGCGTCCTGATTTTCACATAATATTCATATGAAGTTCTTTATACTTTTTTTTTTCAAAAAGTAAGAATGCCTGAAAACTACTTTACCATTTTAAATTCTCTCATACCGTTCTCATCGCTGTCTTTTCTAGCTTACAGACTTATAAAAAATTATAAAGCGATTAATCTATTTAAAAAAATGTAATCGTTTAAATGTGATCGTTTCATTCAGGTGAACCAGGTGCTTTTTAGTCTTTCTATAATATAAAAATTCTACATACGGTAGGCTGACGTTAAAAATGCGCTTTAGTAATAAAAATATTATTTTATTTATGAAGACATACTACATATTCCCTTTTGAATATCCATGGCGTTGATAACACAATTGATAAAATCCATGAAGTGAAAATCAGCTTCGGTGCTACACTTTTCGTTATTTTCGCTTCGGAAGTCAAAACTGCTGCTGCAAGTCTGTCGTAGCAAACTAAAATGATTGCTGCTACATTGGCAAGAAGCATCGTGGCTGTAATTTTTCATGATTTTTTTTAGTATTCCGATGCATAAAAAATTATAATAAAGATTATCAATATATTAAACCTTTCGTTTGGTATATTGATAATCTTTATCAATAGCGTTAGTATGGTACAAGCAGATATGATATAAAATTTTGTTATTTACATGTATTGCAATGTTGACAAGATGAAATTAGTGATGAAAAATATTATAATATTTACTTTCATTGATACAAGAATTTACCTTGTAAAAAACCATCAAATTTGCAACCGAAGTTCTTCAAGACATATTGTTGATAAAAGTCTCTGGCAAGCATAAGCCAGGGGCAGAATAAAAGAGTAATGAGATCTACTGCAGCCAAGTTTCCCACAAGATAATTACTCGCTGTCCACAGCCATTTGTTATTGATAAGAATTACCAAAATAATGGAGTTAAGAAAGATGCCAGTTACGCCCACAAGGACCATGAAAGACGCCTTGAGTGTAACTTCCTCAACAGACTTCACATGCCATAAAGTATTAGGAAATGGATAAAGTGATGTGTCGAGCTAGAATTATAGGGAAAAAAATAAGTAGTCACAGTAGTTGTTCTTCTGTTATTGTGATTATTAAAAAGTATATTTCTGTATATTTCTTTATTAGGATATATTTAACATAATCTTCTTTTTACTTTTATTCTTTAAACTGAAAATGAAAAGAATGCTAAACCAACTGTTTAATACGAACGAAATATTTTACACAGTTTCCCTAATCAGACGAACGTTGGTTAAAATTAATAAAAATTAAAAAAAATGCCTAGTCATAGACATAACAAAATTAGTAGTAGAACCACTTACTTCTTTCAAATCATCTATGCTCCAATTCCTTAGAAGTCTAGGTATCCCGTAAACATGTTCTTCGTAACACAGCATCGCATCACAGATAGGAGTGGAACAAAGAGAAAATTCTAGTAAGCAAAGCCAGTTGTCATTCGAAAAGCAAAACATCTAATGAATATTTTCCTAAAAAGCTGTTAAGATAACACTGAAGCACAGTAGTCAATTACCATGAAAGCATTTTTATCATATGAATGATAATGTCAAACCAACTCGATTAGACAAGGTCATCACTCTTATGTTTTGAATAGTAAAATGATTTATAAAGCTTAAAGAGGGCCTAACAACATTTCGTTTAACTTTACTTATATATTACGTCTTAGCACATTTATTAAAATACATAACAGTTTTCCATGAAAAATACAAAACTTTTTCACACGGTGCTAATAATAAAGTAATGCTACTTTATTTTTTATTCCGGTGGGCGAAATTAAAAAGATATTATAAAAGACATATTGATATTTGTTGGCCGATATAGTTGAATTTAATTTATTTTTAAATGAGCGCCATCTTGTAGTTTCACTTGGAATTTTTTCTAAACTATCTTAGCTACTTCTATCCTGGCACGTTAGCATAACATGTTAAAATAAATTTCAGTTAATCCATACTAGATGGCTCTCTTTACAAATGAACTCTGTTAGAAAACGGTTTAGATCGGATCTTGAATTTTGATATGTTACTATTTGGAGATTTATATACAAAAGTGGCCTATATTTATATTCCAGTATAACTAACTAAATGTATATGATATCCAAATTGATTTAGTAGTGTTAACAGGCTTGATTAAAACATGCAAAGAAAATAGCAGTTCAAAGGAACGATCACAATAAATTAAAATTTTTAGATATTATCTCTAACAAGGTTATTATTAACACAATCAATAACTAAACAACCAAGTACAACTTAATAACCAACTATACTGAACAACAATAACAAAATTTTATAATATTAAATTATATCTAGCTAAAATATGATAATACCATAAATATATAATTAAACAAGACAACAAGACGTACCTAATATATAAAAATATTTTTCAAGAATCCACAAAAGTAAGTGAAAATAATAAAACCAAATGGAATTAATATTAATGAAGAATTTAAAAGTTTTTAAGGGACTTGAATTCTATCACGAGGTAAAAATGCTCATCAGCATTTGCAATAATGAAAATAAAGATTTTCGTGCGTACCTATTGATTTACCGAAACTAACTTTTTCAGATACGACGCGTCTTTTTACTATTTTATTACTACATAATCCCTAAGTTTCATTATAGCCTTCACAATGGTTTGAAAAACAATATATATGTATATCTTTTTAAAACGCAATCTCATACTAAATGGTTCATTTACATAATTGAAATTTCTAAATCAAACACAAAATTCGATTTTCAATAAAAATACAAGTAAAAAATATCATGTGCAATAAAGTAACTATTAAGAAAAACAATTCTTCCATATTTTCTCAAGCTCCTAATAAAGGCGGAACAATTTTGTATGTAAATGATATGAAGAGTTGATTCCACAATGGAGATTTCCGGCTATTACCTAACGTTAGTTTAATTTGACTTGTGTGTATTATACGTTATCAGGACCGGCATCAACCAAATGTGGTCTAAACACACGGGAATATTTCGAACAATGTGGTCATATTCATTACATGTAATATTATGAATTTAACTCGATTCTTTAGTATACATCTGTGCTTCGTATGCTATTAATGTTCTTTTAATGAGGATAACGATGACGTTTTATATAATATTAATGATTTAATGTAAGATTTTATACGGGAAAAGGTAGAAGGTATTTATTCAATAGAATTAGAAGTTGAAGCTGTAATGTTTCAAATATTTGTATGTTGTATCCAATCATTATTCCCAAAGAGGGTTGATGTCAATCAGGCGGCCAGTCGTTGGGGCTGGATGTAAACAGGATTCCCAGCCCCCTGCCAGCCAGGCGAGATCGGAGCGCCACTGGGTTATTTTAGTGGGTATACCGGGAATCCTTTCCCGGGGAGTCCCACATACCCCTCTCCGTCCCCTGACGGAGAGGGGTAAGTGTGTGCACAACAAAAAGGCGGCCAGTCGTAAAAACAATAAGCCAAAACTATTTAGAACCTGTAAGTCAGACCCTGGCTAAGGCTGGGAAATTTCCAAGAAGAAGAAGATAAGTTGTATCTAATCATTGTTTCAGTGAACTACTTTGAATTATGATACATACAATTTAAACCCTATTTTTCTATTCGGCCTTATCGCTTTAAGTAAAACGACTTACCTATACATCCGACAGTAATTGTCACGACTTCTGCGCGAGTGAGTAAATTATAAAACAGAATTTCTGGAGGACATGCTCCTACAAAAAACCATTTCGTTTATAAAATATTCCGTAAATGTATGAATATTTACAAAATAAAAATCTTTGTTTTACAAATTTACTCTGATTTCTAAAATAAAATAAATAATAAACAAAAATCATTATATTTATCTCTTAGGTAAATCAAACTTAATCTTCTAAAATGTTAATATTTTAGGGCAACAGTTTATATTAAAATCTATTTTACTTATATCCTGAATTAGATACATTCGTCAATTTTACCTTTCTTAATTTGGACACTATATATTTCTTAATAAAGTATATACATATATTTATTTAATATTTTTTAACATGTTAAAAGAAATCGTTCAAAAATAGCATATTTTTCTCATATCATTACATCGAATAGACTTGATAATGTAAAAATTTATTAAACTTTGTGATGATAACAATAATATGTAATAAAGCAAGGATCAAGATATGAAAGTGTGCTATAAAAAACGTATATCATTATAAAAATGTATAAAAATACATGTTGACGTAAATCCCGAAAAATATCTGATCATAGTTACGCAGTCTATGGATACTGGAGCTTTTCATAATGACTTTGCTACCGCGGATCTCATTCCCTAAGGGGCTAAAATTTCTCAAAATCACGAATGACTTGTATACAATCGTGGATACGAAAAAGAACGAATATAAATTAATTTTCATACAAAAACTTTATCCCTCTTTCCATATTATCAGAGTTCTATTCATAGAAATTTGGAAAAACATTTTTATCTCATATAAGCTATATGAACAATTGTCTTTATATACTCGTGGATAGGTGATATAGCTTCCGGAATTTCTTAAGTAATTACTGATCAGTGGACTACTAAGGTTTGCTTTCTTTAAACATTCATACAAACAAATTAATAGAAATACCTGTAGTATTGTAGGTTTTCTCTTAATATTTCTAAGTAACATGTCTCTCCAAAATTTATGTCGGATATTCAATTTCTTTGAGCACAATTTTGCTGAACTATAAAGCAACGAATGTAACCATAATTGTTGCTAATTTCTGCATTCACGCGTAAGTAAAGGCTAGAATAATGGAAATATGAAGAAATAAAAAGGTAACGTCAACAGCGCAATTACTGATATCTTTCTGTCTGGGACATAACCCTATGAATATTTGGAACTGACCTTGAAACTCAGCCGAACTATCAATATGTGATATTCCAAAACTATTGTTATAATAAGTTATTAGTAAATACGATACTTGCATTGTCACGTTTATAATAAACATAAAAAACATGATATTTTCATTGTAGCCAAATGTTTCGTGTATTTTGAGTGACCACCTATGACGACTATTTCAGAGTGATGCGTACAAAGTTCACTTGAATAATGCCAAATTTGAAAATTAAAAGTACAACTTATTTATTATAATATTTTGTGCCTTCTATAAATTTTAATGTCGTCTATTTAAACTTAATTCTCGTAGACGTGCAATCTCACACGACCAACTGCCATTTGATGAAGCATGTTAATATTCTGTATTTTAACGATAATTTATTATGAGAGAGGAAAGCACTATAATTAGAATACTTAAATAATTACTAGGAATATTTTATATATATTTAATGAGTTTAAGAATAGTTTTTAAGGATTTAGGTAACTATTTTAATAATCTCAAATAAAGTTGACATATTGTCTAAGTACGACTTAGTTTTTTTGTATATAATTTTTCATTCTATGGGTAAAATGTTTGTTACTTCATTAAATCACATTACTTATATAACCACCTACACATATGTGACGAAATACAAAACTCGGAATCTCAGAATAATACCCCTCAAACCACAACTGTCTGCTGCAACGAATGAGTTTGTCTATACATATTATATGCTCCATTATGAACTTTATGCCCTTGTGATAAGTGTTGACGGGCGCTGTAATTAATTTAAGCAACATAATAGAAATGGTGAACATGTAACTTTAATGTCTTTCTCAGAACATTAACTAATTATACATTTTTGTGACACGTGGTGAATGGCAACAGTGAAAACATTAAAAAATATCTTATAACAATATAAAAATGAGAAACCAATTTCTAATATATTCTTTTCGGAGATATTCCAAAAGGAGTCCTTATTAAATTAATTTATAAAAAATGTTACGTGAAAATTCTCTACCTTAAAAATGATATAGAATAACCACAGACTAAACAGCGACATTTTAAAATCGAAATATTACTCACATTAAGGTGCAGACAATCTAAATTTTCAGTTCCACAGACTGAATAAAATCTAATAATCTCAGTCTCGAAGAAAAATCCGCTGAGACACACGGAAGAATTAGTCAAAATAGAATGAAATGATGCAGGACTTGAATCGTTCGGATTTATTATGGGAGCATATTGAATGTGCTTCGTAACATGAAATGTGGAATTTATAACTCATGATTTGATTCTCTTGCTTACATAATGTTCGAAATGTATTGACATTTGTTTTAAGATACGTATTTTAATTATAAGACATTTTCGTTTAATTTTTTTATTATGAAAGGTTTAGTGCTGTCATATGCTGATAGGTACCATGTTTACCAGGTTTTTCGACCATACTAAAATTTAGGTTTGTTTAAGCTTATAATTACTTACTTTTTATTAGTATTGAAGGGTTTAGTGCTGTCAAAGTGGATAAGTACATTTTTACCATATTTTTCGTCCATACTAAAATTT